ACCAGCCACATTGCTGTTAGGAGCATGTGCTCCTACCAGCTGAGCCGTCCTGCCACCTGTTGGCAGCTCAGTGGCAGCCCAGCTTGGGCGCAGCCCACTGGCCCATGTGGGAATCAAACCGGCAACCCTGTCACTCAGAGCTCCCGCTCTTAACCAACTGAGCCACTCGGCCGGCCTCTAGGACCCCACTCTTATCCCTCCAATGTCTGTATCTGCCCCATCACCTTCCTTTCCTCCAGTCTCAGAGAACATTCTCTGGTTCAAGGACAGTCTCACTCCCTGCGTGCTGGAGTGACCTCTTCTTTTGCCCCAAGGAACATCATGTCATCTCTCATGCTCTTCCCTCTATTTTAACCTCTCCAGGCTCCTTCCTTATGAGTGCAAAGTACATCCCACCCTAAAAAGGGCCCTCTTAGACCCTGTATTCCTTAGCTATTGCCCTCTTTATTTTTCTTATATCACAGGTAAGGTCTTTAGTCAGCAAACCTGGCTCCAAATTATCATCTGCATTTCATTTTTCTACTCCTGGAAATGGGGCTTCTCTTCTCAGCATGCCATTGAAACTACTCAAAGGTGACCTAATTTCCAAATCCAGTGGGCTTTTTCCAACACCCTTTTTTTTACTTCACCCTGCCATGTGAAAGCCCTTCTCCTTGGCCTATGGAAGAGCTCTTAGTCCTCTCCTGTCTCCATGACTTCTCCTTCTCAGTCCACTTTGTAAACTGTTCATCCTATCTGCTATTTGCTGGCTTACTCCTTTTCTCACCCTACATCTTCTACGGGAACCTCACCCTCTCTCAGTTTTAATGACCACCTTTCTGCAGATAAATGTCAAACATATGTTACCAGGCTAGAACTCTCCTCTGGGCTCCAAACTCATGTATTCAACCACTGCCTGGACATCTTCATGTGAATATCTTGTAGGCATCTGACTCCACAAGTTCAAAACCAAAGTGCTCATTCCCCCTCCCCTATCCTGTTCCTCCTCTTGCGTTCCCTATCTCCATAAATATCATTACCAATCAACTCAACCCAAATGCCAACAAGTCACAGTAGAATCCTCACCCATGTGGTCAGTCAGCAGACCTATAGGTTCTTCCTCCCACACAGGGCTTTCCATCTCCTCCTCCTCATTGCTCTGTCTTTATTCTGGCCCTCATCCTACACCTGCCGTGTCCCTGGTCTCTTCACTGGTCTTCCAGGCTTTAGTCCCCCTTTTTACCAGGGGGACACTTACTATAATCCATTCTCCCCAGTGCTGCCAGAGTGATCTTCCTAAGCTGCAAAAGTGTTCACACTTTCTTGCTTACAACCATCCAGGGGCTCCCTTTCACCTCCAGAATACAGCCTTTTATATGGTGCCCAAACTATTCATAGTTAGCCCTGTCCACCTCTGTGGTCTTATTTTCAATGCCTATTCCTAGAATCTTAGGATCTAGTCACAATGAGCTCCTTGTCGTCCCAAATAGGCTCCAAATAAGTGTCTGTAGCATCTATACCTTTGTTTATGCTGCTCCCACTGAAGGAAATACCTTCGCCCACCTTCACCCTTCGACTCAGTGAACCCATCCTCATCTTACAGGGCTCACTGGAACACTCCGTAATGTTTAGTCTGTCTTTCCTCCCAGCTGTCAGGTAACACTGACCATTTCCTTCTTTGTACTCTCTCTACACCCTGTAAATGGTTCTTTAACATCTGCAAGAATATCTGTCACAAGTATCGGTTTACCGCAGAGTCTCCCAGAGAGAAACTGTAGTCCTCCTTAAGGACATGGGTTCTGTCCTATATGCCTTTGTACACCTAGCACCTAGCATGGTACCTGACACAGAGTGGAAGCTTGTGGATGTTTGATGAATAGGTAAAAGAAGAAAGGGAGAGAAAGAGAAAGGAAGAGATAGGGAGGAAGGGAGAGGGGTGGGGAAGAAAAAGAGTACTAGGGTTGGGGTGCTAAAGAGTTGAACTGTATTCCATAGAGATTAAAGAAAAGTTGTGTGTAGAATGATTTGAAGAGAAGTCAGGGAGGAAGCTTCTGTGGTAGAACAAACAGGAAACAAGGAGAGTCTGTGGTACCTGGTGGGGAGGACAGCAGAGGGGAAAGCACTGTGCAGGGAGCCATCAGGGCCTGGACCAAGAGCAGATGATGGCAGAGAGGAAGGGGCCCCCTCGGAGAAAGAGAAGTGGGGGGGGATCAAGAGGCCCTTACCGTCCTTGCAGACACCTAACTCAGCACCGCCAATCCACACAGCCATACCCGTAGCTCTGCTAAGAGACGTTGGCATGGGCATATGGAAAACCTGGGAGGGAGCAAGGCTTTTTACCAGCTCCTCTGTGATGGCAGCATTGCCCATAGAAGAGGTCCACAAAAAGGGCCCTGAGGGACTGACCAATCTCTACTGTTACACACAACTAGATCCATTTCCCATATTCTTCAGCCATCCCATACCAAGAACATTGTCCTGAGGGACTCAGGGAAGCTAACTTTTGATATAAAAGGAGACAAACAGGTCAAGACACTGCTCAGCGTCCAAGGCCAGGGAACCCTGAACACCCAGGAGGCTCTGTGTATCTAAAAGAAGGTGAGAAGTGGGGACCATGAGAGAAGGGAGGTAAGAAGGTAGTGAAGGTCATGTTCATGGTTTTGCTAGGACAAGCCCCATCCATTTCAGGTTTCCTTGCTCAGGTTTCCAGGTGGCCCCTGGAAAGGCCTTGTCCACTTATGGATAAGGCCGTCATTCCGTCCTGTCCTGGTACTAGAGTGGGAAGGCTGTGAAGACCTACAGAGAAGATCTGAGAGTCAAGCCAGCAGAAGAGAGGAGAGGAAAGATGGGCTCACCGGGAACAGTATGGCTCTGAGCTCCAGGTAGAACACGTTGTCCTGGTAGAACTCCTCCAGGCCCTGGAAGATGTAGTCTCTGAACACCGGTGCATAGTTGACAAGGCCAGAGATTGTAATGAAGATAGTTTTAAACTTGGACCAGACGATATTTTGGTTTGCATAAGTCACCTCCGGGTTCTTGGTCATCAGAGTGAAATTCCTCAGCAGGCTGTCCAGGACACAAAAGGGTGTGCTTCAGGCCATTGCCTCGAGGCAGGAGTCCTGCCCACCTTGCTTTTCTCACCCAGAAGAAACCAGAATGCATCATAGTGAGCTGTGGTGAGAAGCCAAAGGAAGCATCTGGGCTCTTTGATGGAGGCCTCCACCCTAAGACCTGCTTTGTATGCCCCAGAAGACAGCTCAGGTGGGACATACCTATCAACCAGGCTCTCCTGTTCCCCTCTGCATGCTTAGCCAATCTGGCCCCATTGTACTTACATCCTAGACCAAGCTCTCTTTGGGGGATGTTATTCACTGAATTGTATCCCCCCACCTTCATATGTTGAAACCCTAACCTCTAGCATGACTGTATTTTGAGATAGGGGCTTTAAGGAGGTAATTAAGATTAAATGGTGTCATAAGGGTGAGGCCCTAATCCAAAAGGATTGTTATCAGAGGCAGTGGGAGTGCACGTGCACAGGGGAAAGGCCATGTGAGGATACAGAGAGAAGGTGACCGTCTGCAAGCCAAGGAGAAAGGCCTCAGGAGAAACCAAACCTGCCCATACTTTGATCTTGGACTTCTAGCTTCCAGACCAGTGAGAAAACAAATTTCTATTGTTGAAGTCATCCAGTCTGTGGTTTTCTGTTATGGCAGCACTGATATAGGGGGTCTCATGGAAATAACTCTGGACTAGTTTTGCATCCCTGATTAGCCATGGAAATAACTCTGGACTAGTTTTGCATCCCTGATTAGCCATTTGTGAGCTGCGTGACCTTGGGCAACTTCCTTAACCATGCTGAATTTCATGTTTCTTATTTGTAAAAGGAAATAACCTGATGAAAGCACTCTGTAGATGGTTCTATGGTTAAAATAATTATTACTCATAATATTACTATACAAGTTTGTTAAGAAATTGCTCCATCATATTTTTAAGCTGTTTCATCCACCAGCTGGACTGTCATTGCTCCAGGAGCTGGGAACGTTTTTTCTGTATGCTCTTATTGAGCATCTAGACAAATTTAATTTGATGTAACAACAGTATTGCTGTTAATACCTTTTGCAGATCAAATTAGATTTCAAACGTATCAGGACCTTCCTATGGACAGAAAAGGTGTTGAGTGCTTTTGTAAAGCAAAGTATTCGGTAAAGTTAAAAGAAAAAGCCTCTTGATTATTTTAAGGCCAGGTTTTTACATATGGGTTTGTACCAAGGGAGACACCCACACACTACCCACCTGAGACAGGCAAACTACACATTCTGAACCACCACTCACCTATTGTCAAACTCAGTGACATTCTGTAGCCCCTTTCGATACTTCTCCAACAAAATCCACTCTGAACAATTTGCTGGGGTGGGGGGAGTTGGGTGAGCAAATTTGAACATCAGGGTCCCCTTTGGAGTGAGACAGAAGTGGCAGTGGGGCCTGTAGGTGACATTTTTCACCAGCCAGTCCATACTCACAATGCTGCCGTCATGGACATGCAAAGCAGCCCCTGGAGAGGGAAGAAGGGCAAGGTGTGGGGTGAGTCCAGGTGCCAGGGCTAGGATGCTGTGAGGATGGTAGATGGATAAGAAGAGCTGGGAAGCACAGGGATTTCCATCTTGCCAAGTTCCTCACAACTGAACATGAGTACCTTTGTCCCTCCAGCTCGAAGAGCTCCAGGCCTGCCTTTGTCTCCCCAGGATGACCATTGCCTTCTTCTCTCTGGTTTAAAAATGGGGCTTGCTTGGCTTCCTCCCTCGCTAGTTAAGAGCCATGGGTGGTCTCATTCAAGAGAGGCAGCATGGTAGGGTGGAAGGGCATCAGGCTTGGAAGTAAAAGATCAGGGTTCAAGTTAGGGTTCCATCAGCTTCTAGCTCTCCACTGAGAGGCCAAGCTTGGAAATGAGACCTTGCTGCCCAACACTGCATGAAGGGATGTAATAAGAGTGAACCTCAATCCCCACTCCCACCCTCTCAACCTGCCCCCAGAGCCCCACCCATTACTTTCCACTAGAGCTGCTGGCCTGCAGGTTTTGCTGTTTGAGGCCCCGTGCTTGTCCTTCAGACCTGACACCAATTTTGAACCCAGTGCCCCTGAAGGCACAGTATATTAATACACTGTCCCCCTGTTCTTCTTGCTACATCTTAGCACCTGGCCTTGACACTGGCCCCTTGGCAAGTGTCCCAGCTGTGTGAGCTTTGGTGTGTCACCCTGTCTACACCTTACATTCTCCATCAACTGGGGATGCTACTTTACCAACCTCACAGTTTTTCATTTTTTACTCTCTATTTATAACATTAAATTAAAAAGTTAAAGTCCTTGTAAGCTGCAAACTGCTGCTCATGTGTGCAGGATGATTATTTTACCATCAAAGAAATGTGTTAATACTGTAGAAATAGATTACATAGTCAAAATGTGATTATCCAGGATACTATTTCATGTATCCTGTTTTGCAACTTATCCCCTGGAAAAAGGCTAGAAAAAAGGGGTGCAAGGGAAAATGCAAAGAGAAAACTCGGGTCCTGTGGGTCCACGGCACTATCTTATGGGTGGATAACTTTCCAGCTTTGTCAGGTAAGACCAGTATACCCAGGACCCACTTCCTGCTCTCTCTCTGAGACAGAGTCCCCTCGAAAACAGGGTCTTTAGTTTCCAGGGTGAAGCGACAGCCACCTTTGAACACCCTCCTTTCCTAGTTTGCCAGTGAGAACAAGGCACAGAGTAGCTGAGGGGCATTCTCTCTGCTCCCTTTAAAACAATAGCAGTTCCAAGTTCAGTATCTCCCTACCTTCCCAGGACCCCAAAGTCATCCCCCCAAACCTCTACCTTTTGGCATCTTCTTCAGGATAGTAAACACCTCACTTTTCTCAATGAGATTCTTGGCCTTGAAAAAGTGCATGCTGGGTGGGAACTTCTGGGTCTTCATGGCCTGCCTCATTTCAGCCCTTTTGAGGGCCATGAGCCTCTCATTGGCAAGCTCCTCTTCTTTCTTCAGCACCAGCTGTCCCCCCAACTGCATTATCTTCTCTCTCATTAACAGCTGCTTCCGTGCTTCATCTATGGATATGGCTGAACAGAAAAAAGACATCGCCGCCAAAAGCAGAGGGAGCAGGGCTGGCAGCCCAGATGGGCCACCCACCAACATTGAGATGCCTGGAAGAGGAAATTGCTCAGATGGAGACTCAATGGAGCTAAAAAGGGGAGTGGGTGAGTGAAAATCTAAAGATTTAAGTGTCGATTTTCCTCCTTACACCCTGTTCTCAGATTACCAGGAGGCAGCATATTGAAGGGTTCTTTTCTGACGCATCCCCCCCACCAGAGAAAAGACCGCCAAAGTACAGAAAAGGAGGGGTTTCCCATATAAAAGGTTACTGTGAGGCCTCCTTACAGTGGAGCTTTTTGGTTAGCAAGCCCTGCTCACACAGAGCAAGACACTACAATCAGATTTTTAGTGTTTCACTTTTAAATATAACCAGAGGACGAAGTATCACAAGGCATATGAAGAAAGGCTCAAACATGATAAAGAAAATTAAAAATAATGCACAGAGAGAAGGAACTAAAGGGAAATGAAGACTATGCAGGAGATAAAAGAAAAAGTCAAAAGAATTATAATTAATATCCTTACAGAGATAAGAAAAGCTATAATGTCCATAAAACAGAAAAATAAACAGAATGAGAAAGCTTTTAGAAATTAAAATATGAAGCTGAAAAATTTAAAATGTACTTACCAATATTAAAAGATGGAATTGAAGCAAATCTTTTAGAAAGTAGGGCAAAATAAGAGAGAAGAAAATGAGATGGTTATTGGTTCAGAAATCCAACACCCAAATAACAGATATTTCAGAAGGAAACAGAAAGAATAGATGGCAGAGAAAAGGAAATAAATAATAAAAATAATCAAAATAAATAGTAAGGGATTGGGGGAGGGGTGTTGTCACTTCGAGGGGTAAAAAGTATAACTATTGCACTGTGTTGTACAGCTGAAACTAATTCTAAAAAATGTGTATTTCATAATAAAAAATAATTAAAGGAATAAATAAATAAATAAATAAATAAATAGTAAGGGGCGGCCAGTTAGCTCAGGTGGTTAGAGCGCAGGCTCATAACAACAAGGTTGCTGGTTCGATTCCCACATGAGCCAAGGAGCTGCGCCCTCCAAAGTAGATTGAAGACAACTAGTTGACTTGGAGCTAATGGGTGCTGGAAAAACACACTGTTCCCCAATAAAATTTCTTAATAAATAATCAATCAATCAATCAATCAATCAATCAATCAATAAAAAAGGAAATACAAGAAATTGTCCCGGAACTGAAGAACTGTGTCTCTAGATTGGTAAGACTTGTTGAGTACCTAGCACAGCACAATCAATTACTCAGCAGTGACACCAAGATATATCATCTTGATATTTCAGAATATTAGCATGAAAATGATTCTAAAAGCTTCCAGAGAGTTGCTAGGCCAGGTTGGCTATGAGTGGGATTTAAGGGAGGAAGGAAAGAAACTTACATTTATTGAGTCTCCTCCTGCTAGGCATTATGTTTAGCACTTTATGTGGGTTATCTATTTTAATTACACGTAAGAATTGTTTCTGCATAGTTGGAAGTATGATACGTTACACGGGAAAGAATCAAGACTGTAAATTAGGAGACCTCGGGAACAGTTCCATATTATTATGTCTTTGTGAGACCTTGGGCAAATCACTTAATGTCTACGGGTCTCAGTTTCGTCACCTGTAAAAGGGTGAATTGGACTAGATCAGTGGTTCTCAAAGTGTGATATATGTATCACCAGTGATACAAAATATCACTGTTTAGGCTGAATTAAAAATTTTTAAAGCAAGCTAATGTAAAGAAAAATATTAAGTAAATAGAGGTGCAGGGATATGACAAAAATGGAAACTTTGATAATCATTGAAATACATTATATACAAGATTCTTTCCAGGACTAGCATCCAATTATTCTAGGGTATATCAGACACCCAGAGGGAATTTTAAGAAGGAGCTAGATGACAATTTACTCTAGTCTCACAGTTAAGGTAGGGGCTGTAGCCCCAAACCAGAGAGCTAGACTTTTTCTTTTTTTTTTTTTTAGCTGAGCCATCCTGCTACCTGTTGGCAGCTCAGCGGCTGCTCAGCTCGGGCTGGACTCGAACCGCTGTTGCTCAGAGCTCAAACTCTTGAGCGAGCTCTTAACCAACTGAGCCACTCGGCAGGCCCCAGAGAGCTAGACTTTTGAAGAACCCCTTCAACTTCATTAAGTCTTTGAAGCTCTCCTCAGACTACAGAGTTTGCCTGCAACTGAAATCTCTAGGACAAGAGGACAGTGATGTTCACATTACTGTTCCCTCTACACCAATATACCAAGATGCATCCTCTACTCAATGGGCCCTTGTCCCTCTCTCCCTAGCAACACATAACAGAGGCCACCAAGTTCCAAAATCTCCTCCCCCATCCTCTCTAAAGACCCCAGAATTATTCTTGTGGCCCAGCATCTGGGGAATTTTCCTGGCCTACCAGACAAAATTTATCTAATACTGGTCAGATCCAGCTTGGTCAAGCATAAGGGAAAAAATCCCTTTTTCCTATATTCTCTCTCTCTCTCTCTCTCTCTCTCTCTCTCTCTCAAATGTTTTTTTACTTTGAAAAGAGGGTGAATGAAAACTCTATAAAAAATACTTTGTTTCCAAACTAGGAACAGACCATATGCATCTGTGATTCTGAGTAAATGTCCTTGAGCCCACAACCATTTTCGAAAACCTGTTGGGGAGAAATCCTATGTTCTTCCCTCCCACGGAAAGGTGAAGGGTGGGGAGGGCTAAGCACCCAACTTCCAGCTACCTACAATAATCTGACAAGCACACTGCTCTACCCAGACCCCCACCCCAGGGCACCCCTGTTACCTCTGAGCAGCTCCAGAAACTGTAGACTGTTTGCTTAGCCCCTCCAACAGCTGTGTCAGAAGCAGGAGAAAAAAGCTCACCATTCTGTTTCACTTCCTATCAAGGCAGGTTTCACTTCCTTCCAGTCGCATGTTGCACAAGCCTCTGAAGAGAGGCAGGGGAGGTGGGACCTGCCAGAGTCAAGGCAGCAAACAGGCTCAAGTGTGTGGGTTTACATGCATGTGTGTGTTGGTGCACTGATCTCTTTGCATGTTGGGGGGGTCATACACGTTTGTGTGTTTATGTGCGTGTGTGGATTTATGCTTATTTGGGGGGAGGGCGTGTGTGTGTGTGTGTGTGTGTGTGTGTATGTGTGTGTGTGTGTGTGTGTGTGTGCTGTCTTTGTAGGGTCCAAAACATACTTTTGGGCAGCAAGTACCATGAAGAGGCAGTCTAAAATCTGCTCATGAATTTTGGAAACTGTACCCTCCTCAAAATGTGATTGTGAAGTGTGGTGGGGGCACTTCCCCTGGACAGAGGGTAAAATAAAATAATAAAAGGTAAATGTTTTAGGGGGAGAAATTAGGGATGTGGGGGCAGACAGTAAGGGAAAAGCACCTACGCTACAGGGTTGTCAACCGATGGTTGTTGGTGCCAATTCAATGCCAACAAGAATCCCCAATTTGGTGGGTGGTGAAGAAGGAAACTTTAGTCAGTACAAACAGTTCAAATATGATACAGCATGGCTTTGAGGCGGCCTTGCGGAGAGGCAGCCCTGCTATGCTCTGGTGTACTCCACCTGCTCCACTCTGCTTTAGCAAGACATCTTGGGTGTTTCAACTCCAGCCCAGCCAGGGAAACTCAGTCTTCAGTTTTCAGAAAGGAGAAGTGGTTGCCAGAGCCAGAGGGGAGCTGGCTTGTATATAGAAAGAAGTTCCTGCCCCTGTTCCCTGATCGGTCCATCCTCATGCAAATGAGGACTCCATGGGAGTTATAGTTGTACAGCTCCTATTGGACAATGAAAGCCTCAGTCGTTTTGGTAGAAATACAATTCCAGGAACTCCTTTATAAGGCTGGCTCAGATGCCAGGAACACAGTGCAGAAGGCAGGCTGCTCAGTGCAGGCTTCTCTCTGAAGTGCAGTTTGCACAAGAGGCCCCTGTGTAGAGACACCCCTATAGAGACATCTCCATACATAGAGATGGCTGCTAGACTGTTTTTTTTGTTTGTTTGTTTTTTAATTTGAGCCCAGTTAGCAACCAGGAGCCCTTCTTAGCAGGTGTTTCTTTCTCAGGGCCCACAGGGTCCATTGTGAGAACTAAAAGGAGCATAGGACGTTCTCAGTAAATCTCAGCCATTACTATTATCAGAAGTAATGTGAGTGGCCCCCCAGGCCAAACTAATTAAGACATGAGGCTGTTCCAGTGAATTCTCTGTTGCATACATGATCTACATACCTGCTATGCACTCCTTTTCTTCCCAGCCCTCCTTCCAAGACCTTCTGCTCCCAATATACCCCCCAAATTCCCTGACACTTCCACTTCTGCTGCTCCTAAACAGCTGGAACCTCTGGGCCCCTTGTCATCTCCAAAAAAGTAAAAAGGCCATCCATTTAGTAAACAAGAAGAAATTCAAAAGGGAAAATATAGAGGAATTAGGAATTTCCTCATCAAGAGTTTAAGATTATTTTTTTTTCTTTTTAAAGATTTTATTGGGGAATTGGGGAAGGGGAACAGTGTTGGGGAATTGGGGAAGGGGAACAGTCAATTGTTATCCTTCAATCTTAGTTGCGGAGGGTGCAACTAGCTCAGCTCCAAGTCCAGCCTCCATCCGCCGCCCATCGGCGGCTCCTGGCTGCTCAGTTCAAGGTGCCGTGTTCAATTTTAGTTGCGGGTGGGCGTAGCCCACCATCCCGTGAGGGAGTCAAACCAGCAACCTTGCTGCTAAGAGCACACACTCTTACCATCTCAGTGGCAGCTCAGCTCGGATGCAGCTCACTGGCCCACGTGGGAATCGAACCGGCGACTCTGTTGCTCAGAGCTCCCGCTGTTAACCAACTGAGCCACTCTGCTGGCCCCAAGATTAATTTTTTGAAAGTAAGAGGAACTAGAAGGAACAAGCAGGTAATAAAGAAAAACAACTTTGTCCCCTTTCGATTTATTTTCCAGCTCTGAAAGTACAAATCTCGGCATGCCCTTCTTGTCCTTTTCTGCTGAAAAACTTTCGGAGTCTACCCACTATATTAAGAGTAAAATCTAAAACTCTTTCTGTTGGAACCGTCTCTCTACCCTCTCTACCCACCTGCTCCCTTTTGTCCACTGACGAACCTTCTAGCATCTCAGATGTAGTGAACACTTGCACTTCTAGAGTTTTCGGTGTAATTCCTGTTGCCTGGAATAGTCTTTCCCCTCCTTTTACAGGCTAACTCCTATATTATCCCTCAGGCCCCAAAGTAAATATTTCTTCTTCAGGGAAGCTTTCAATGAACACCCTCCAATGTAAATTTGGTCCCTCTGTTACACTCCTCATAATATCCCTTTCTTATTTTCCACAGAATGCATCACAATTTGTAATTCTATATTTATGTATCTCCATAATTACTTAGCCTATGCCTCTATATGAAATTGAAAGCTGTCTGAGGGCTTTCCGAACTGTTGCTATCACTGTCATCTTTTTTTTTTTTTTAAGATTTTATTGGGGAATTTGTGGAGGGAAACAGCATTGGGGAACTGGGGAAGGGGAACAGACAAGTTGCTGTCATTTTGTTCTTCAGTCTAGTTGTGGAGGACATCGCTTCACTGGCCCATGTTGGTATTATCATTGCACTCTTCCCAGCTGAGGCAGTCGTTCGCCAGCCATTGGACGGCCGCTCACGCAGCTCACGAAAGCTCACGCCCATTGCCGGCCAGCCCCACTGCAGCCTACGCCATGTCAACGGTGACTCAAGGCAGCCCAGCTCCAGGTCAAGCTGTTTTTCACCACCTTAGCCGTAGAGGGCGCAGCGTCACTGGCCCTCATGTAGGATCTGAACAGGGCCCTGCTGCTCAGAGCTGGCGTCCCAAGCCAACTCCTAACCAACGCGCCACTCGGCTGGCCCTCACTGTCATCTTTTACACAGTGCCTGACTCAGAGTAGACACCCCAAAACATCTGCTGCTGCAGGCAGGCATGTATGTATGAATGAATGAATGAATGAATGAATGAATATGAAAGTATGGAGGGAAAGAAAATTCTGAGTGTTTGTTTCAGGTTGTAGTCATTTGGGTCTTCTCAACCTGGTATAATGGGGAAGAGGTAAATGAGACCAGAGTGTCTTGCAAAGGGTGGCTGGTCAGCAGAGCCATTGGCCAGTGTGCCTTCTGTGTGCCGCCTGCTGAAAAAGTATTGTAATAAATAGACAAGTCTGTGTCAGTGATAAAACCAGTGTCCTCTAGAATTGTGCAGTGCTCTCCTTGCACTACTTGATTACACATGGCAGCCTGGGAGGCAATGATAAAGCCAATGGCATATCAATAAGCCTGGGCTGGATTGTCTTGTTTGTTTGTATTTAGTTTTTATCCGTCTTCAGTGAAACGCTGAAGCATCCCTAGGGATCAAACCTTGTCTTGGAGTCACCTTGTCTCCCATCATTTTGTTTCCATTCTCCAACACAGTCTTTGCAAGCACCAACATTTACCTTTGTTCCATCTTATTTTTATTATTTTTGGGGGGAGCAGTCAGGGGCTTTTTCTTTATTACACCTGTCATATCTCATGAGCCCGTATTCTGGTCCTTTCCTCTGGCTTGTTCAGGGATTCATCATCAATCATGGCAATACCTGCATTTTAAGACCTTCAAGGTGGGTTTAGGATCCAAAGACAAGAAATGGCCTCTAGTGTGATTGTGCACATTTCAGCCAGCATTTTCTCTACTGTAGACATGCGGACCTTAGCCTTCTTGGGGTGAGGAAATTTTATTACCATATGTTGAAAGAGCAACTGCAGGACTGCCCACACTTCCTGGTCTGATGGTTTCTGAGTTATTCTTGAACAGGGAAAGAAAAGGGTCATCTGCCTTTGAAACTTAAGTACCCACCAGACTGAGTTCTGCCTATACTAAGAATTCCATCTTATCTGTCTGTAAAGCACTATCTCTTCCAGGATTTTATCCTCTCTGGAGAAGAAACTTTAATAAAGCAAATCAGATCATGTCACTTTTCTTCTAAAGGCCCTCCTTAAGTCCCCCATGACAGCTCACCAGCCTTATTGCTCACCCCACAACCTCCAGCTAGTCATACTGAACTCTTTGTCATTCCCCAAACAAGTTCCTGCTGGCCTCCAGTCTTTTCACGTGTTCATATGTCCTGAGCCTGGAAAACTTTTTCATTCTCTCTTTGCCTAGCCAACTCCAATATCAGCTTGGACTTCTTTTACTCTCAGAAGTTTTGACCCTTCTCCCACGGCAAAGACCGTGCTCAGCCGCCTCTGTAACTGAGTCCAAACTCATACTGCTTGCCAGCTAATGAGTTGAGTGACAAGGTGTCGGGACAAGGAAAACGACTTTATTTGGAAAGCCAGCAAGCCAAGAAAATGGTGGACTAGCATCCTAAAGAACCATTTTAAGAAAGTACAGAATTCAGCCTTCCTTTAAATCAAGGGAAGGTTGGGAACTAAAGGAGTTTGAGGTTGATTGATGACTGCAAACACCTGGGCACCAGCAGGAGTCCAAAGAAGGTTGCTTTGATTTTTTTCTTGGTCTGTTCACTCTAGTTGATGTGAGTCTGGTCACAAAGTTAAATAATGCATGTTTCCCTTATCTCCTTGGGAAAGACAGTTTCTAGTAAGGATATGCTTTTATAAAACTCAAGCAGCAAACAGAATTCCTCTAATGCTACATGCAAGACAAAGAATGGCCTTGTTCCTAAAGGCCATGGGAACAAAGCAGATTATAACAAAACGGAGTCAGAGAGGCCAGCATTTCACATTGTTACACCTCATTTAGCACTAATATGCCATATTGGAAAATTCCAAGTACTTGTGTGTTTCTACCATGAAGATGCTCTTTCTTTGACATAAGAGACTATCTTATTCCCCAAGCACTGTGCCTGGCACACTATAACTATTCCATCAATACTTGTTCAGTGGATGAAAAAAAGGAATGAAAGAAGCTGCATAGTTTCTTTAACCTCTTTCAGGCTTCAGTTCTTGTCACTGA